AAAAACAAAGGTTTCTCAAAAACCCCAGTTTTCAAAACAAGCAAAATCATTTGAGCAAACAAAACCTAATGTTTCACAATCTACCAAAATATCAAAAGATTCAAAGGGCAAAGGAAAGGTTGGTTCGGAGTCAAAAATTCATTTCAAAAACTCCAAATCTTACTTGAAAATGGAAAAGATGGTTGAGAAAAAGGATTGTCAGCCAACAAATCAAAGATAATAAAAGAAAAACCTCTTTTCAAAGGAATCCTAAAGTTGAAAGGATCGTTGTATTTAAAATAACTAATAAAGATCATTCCACTCTGATTAAACGATCTTACTTGGTTGATAAAGCAATAACATTTCCAGTGCTTGTGAAAACCTCATGTGGACCCAAAAAAAATTGGGTTCCTAACTTTATTTAATTTTTGTAGGTGATGCATGATAAGGAGTTTGAGTCTGAATGGTACATTGATAGTGGCTGCTCGTATCACATGACAGGAAGGAAGAAAGAATTAAAAGATTTCAGATCACTGAAGGATGGAGGGAGAGTCAAATACAGAAATGATTCTCTTGGGGAAATTAAGGGCTATGGAATGATTACGAATAGAGAATTCTCTATTTGAAAGGTAGCCTATGACGAAGGCCTGCAACACAATCTAATCAGTGTATCACAATTAGTTGTAGGTACATGCTTAAAAGTGTCGTTCGATGATGAGGGATCTGAGATAATCGAGAAGAAATCCAAAACAATGTTGTTGAAGGCTAAGCATAAAGGCAAGATGTATCCTCTTAGTCTGAATCCCATCATAGGAAAGCCTGCCATATGTGAGGGTTACCATTGCTGAAGTTTGAGAAGGATCATCTCTGTGCAGCCTACGAACTAGGGAAGCAGACCAGGAAGAGTCATTCAATAATCATAAACACCAGAGTGATCGAGACACTTGAGCTTTTACATATTGATCTCTATGGTCCATCTTCCATCGAGAGCATTGGTGTTAACAAGTACATTTTAGTTATTATTGACGATTTTTCCAAATTAAGTGGGTGTATTTTCTTTAGAAGAAATCAGAACCCACACCAAAACTCAAGAACTTTATAAAGCAGATCGAGCTACAACTGTGAAAGTGGGTCCGTAACATTCGCAATGACAATGGTTCGGATTTCAAAAACCAAGCGTTTGAAAAATTCCTGATTGAAAATGGAGTAGCTCAAAACTTTTTAGCTCCTTACACTCCTCAACAGAATGGGGTCGTTGAAAGGAGAAACTTATGCGCAAAGCTGCGAGAACCATGCTATCGTTTGTGAACCTGCCGCTCTATTTTTTGGCAGAAGCTATCGGCACAGCCTGTTTCACACAAAATTGATCTTTCCTGAACAAAAGATTTTCCATTACCCCTTATAAAATTCTTAATAAAAGAAAACCTAATGTTAAGTTTTTTCATGTCTTTGGTTCCAGGTGCTTCATCTTTAATTCTAAGGAACAAAGGAACAAATTCCATGAGAAATCTGACAAAGGAATTTTCTTAGGGTATTCTTTAACGTCAAAAGCATATCGGGTTTTCAACTAGAGACCAAGAAGAATCGAAGAGACCTACTATGTTACCTTTGATGACACTTATCTTAATAAGTATCAGAACATCGACTGTAAATCAGAGGAAATTTTTCCGGTTAAAAATCCGATGACAATTCCTCTCTCTATCCTTTATGAGGAATTCCTGAACCTCTTTGACGAACCAGAAAAAGTGATCTCCTCAAAATCCAAAGCAGTAGATAACAAGGAAGACGAGTTGAATAATATTATTGATGACGCTGCAAAAGGCATTGAACACGAGCCACCCACTCCGAAAGACTCTAACATTGTATCTCAACCACAAGCTGTGAATGCTCCACCTCAAGGGGGAGGATTTCACATCAACCTCTTCATCTCACACACCTGTTTAGGGGGAGAATGAAGGCCCTAAATTCAGCTTGGAACCGCCATTCCAAGGGAGGATTCAACTCCGAATAAATAGCTAAATCCATCATTTGATGGGGAGAATGAGAATACAAATGATGATTTGGATGCTCAATCTGAATTTCAAGAAATAAATGTTGAACTGGATCCATCTTATGATACAAACTACCCTCGTCTAACCAAATGGACCATAGATCATCCCAAAACACAAATAACCCAAGAAGCCACTGCAAGAGTTCTTACGAGAGCACAACAAATGGTGAATCGGACTGCATTATTCTTTAGAATGGAATTTTGCATGTTCAATTCATTTATCTCCAAAATTCAACCCAAAAAAATTAAGATTGCTCGTTACCATTCAGATTGGGTGGAAGCAATGCAGGAGGAGCTCAATGATTTTGCATGAAATAAGGTTTGGGGCTAATTCCAACTTAGAAGGATGCTTCTGTCGTTGGTCTTACATGGGTGTTCCGATATAAGCTTGACAAAGAGGGAAATGTGATCCAAAAAAAGGCTCGGTTAGTCGTAAAAGGGCATTGCAAAGAAGAAGGGATTGACTACGAGGAAACTTTCGCACCAGTAGTAAGGCTGGAATGCATTCGCATCTTTCTGGCATATGTGGCACACAAGAACTTTGAAGTCTATCAAATGGACGTTAAGTGTGCCTTTCCGAATGGAGAATTAGAAGAAACAATGTGTGTAGAACAACCACCTGGATTCGTAAATGAAAAATATATGAACCACTGCTACATTCTTGACAAATCAGTCTATAGGCTGAAGCACGCTCCACGAGCCTGGTATGAAACTCTTAATAGATTTCTAAAACAGTCTAAATTTAAACAGGCTCGGTCGACCCTACGTTCTTTCGCAAGAAAGATGGCGACCATTTGATGATCGTTAAAATCTATGATGATGAAACCATTTTCAGATCTACTAATCCTAGATTAACTGTTGAGCTCCGAAGGTTTATGGAAGCTAAGTTTGAGATGAGATCAACAGGTCCGTTTAACTTTTTCCTTGGTTTGAATATAAGACAGAGTCAGGAAGGAATCTTTATTAACCAAGAGGCTTATACGAAGACCTTACTTGTGAAGTTTGGAATGGTGGGAGACTCGAAGGTGAAGTTTCCAATGGCATTCGGAAAAAAAGCTAAAACCGTATTTAGACAAACCAGCTACAGATATGACACTGCTAGTCGTCCAGACATTATGTTCTCTGTTTGCTATTGTGCTAGGTTTCAATAAAATCCTCGTGAACCCACCATGAACATTGTAAAGAACATCTTCGGATATCTAAAACGAACAACCTCGCTCAGAATTTGGTACCCATCTAGTTCAGGGTTATTTGTGTGAGCATTCTCTGATGCTGATCTCGGAGGTTGCATTGTTGATCGCAAATGTACAACTGGAGGATGCCAATTTCTTAATGGAAAACTCGCCAATTGGAAATCAAAGAAATAGACTTACGTCTCCGTATCGACTACCGAAGCTTAATATATTGCAGCTGCTTTCTGTCACAACCCAATGCAACACTCCAAGACCAAACACATCACACTGAGGTGTCACTTTATTAAAAATCACATGGAAGATGGAAATGTTTAGATTCATTTTGTTAGATCTGCTAATCAACTCGCTGATATCTTTACTAAAGATTTACTAGAACTAACCTTTAATCGCAGTCTTCAAGGCTTAGGAATGATTGAAGTTGAATCAGTTCGGAAACCACCTTCACACTAGGAAAGTATTGATTGAACTGTGAATGGGTATGAACGCTCGTAGTGATTCGTAGTCAACTATTCAACTATGAATGGGTGCGAACGCTCGTAGTGATTCGCAGTCTACTGTTCAACTGTGAATTGGTTCGCACACTCGAAAAAACTCGCAGTCCACTGTTCATTCGGATGTTTGGGGCTTCTTGTATACTTTTGTATATTTCATTTGTTTCAATTTATTTAATTTTTCTATTTTTATTTCTTTTTCAGAGAATTCAAAATCCTAAAATATTTAAATTTACTTTTTTTATTTCTTTTTCAGAAAGTTCAAAATCAAAAAATATTTTATTTGTTTCTATTTTTATTTCCTTTTCAGAAAACTCAAAATCCAAAAATATTTTATTTGTTTCTTTTTCAGAAAATTCAAAAATCCAAAAATATTTTCTATTTTTATATTTCTATGTTAACATCAAAAATAATAGATAATTGAGCGGGACTAACAAAACATATCATCATACTCTCAATTACGAACGACGGGGCAGGTATTGAATTTCTAATCTTTGCACTAGTTAAGTGTCCCTAGAAGCATGTTGCGTGTAGTCTGAAGCTTCTGAAACTATATGTTTGAAGTCTTAATGAATTGATAATACCAATCATTTCTTCCCAATCAGGCTAATATTCACCTAAGTCATTGAGCTACCTTACTCTTCTCATATTGAGTTAAGAGTTGACTGCTTGATCACTTTCATATACTAGATGTACATTTTTCTTTGGAACCATCTCCTAATACTTCTCCGTCACATTCATTTTCACACTAGTAACCCTTGAGACTCTCAGAAATTACCATTGAGGTTTACGGTTGCATAATTTCTGTGTTTACGATCTTAAATTCGTTATCACCACGAATTGAGTGAAACCCAAAATCCAACACATATTTACGAATTGACAGTGAACAATTTATACGTTCTAGTTATTCACCATGGAATTAACGAACATCCACCTTCGTGGTTAGTACCTTGAAATCTCTTTTTATTTTTGTGAGATCTTAATGAAATATTCTAGACCTAAGACATTTCTTCCCATAAGATCCAATTTTTATTTTTCTTGAGATTTCTAAATTATCCAGCCACTCAAAAAATTTTGAAGCTTACTTGTTCTTATGGATACAATGGTCAGACAAGTACTTCATACGAACGTTCGGACTTATATTGAGTTTCGGACTTAGTTGAAGATGAAGCCACCCCTTTCGCCTTATTAAAAAGAATTCATTCACTGTTTCTCCACAAACAAATGATCTTAATTCAACAGGACACCACAAACGCACTTCAAAGTCTCTTAGATTTACAGCTTGATATGCCTATTACTCCGAAGGATCTTGATACAATGAAGTTAGGAAGGATAAGAAAAAAGGATTTGAGTGTCGCTTTTCAGATAAGAGAAAATCCGGATGCAAAATTTCACAGAGTCTGCTTCTATTTGCCAGACAAGCATCTATACTCCTCCTCCTATCTCAAATACATCGTGGATTTTGTGAGTCCGAATAAAGCGAACAGTGTTGTGGACAAGAAGTGTTTTTCGGACATGATCAATTGGTATGTCCAGGTTCACAAGTCTTTGCTGGGAATTATACAAAAGTTGTTCAAAGTTCAAAAGCAACAACAACAGTGAAGATCTACCTTCCTTATTAACACAAGGGGGGGGGGGGGTTGTTGGGATTCTATTGTGTTGTGTCGGTTTTTGTATTGTTTAATATTTTTTAATGGTCTGGGCCTATCCACCTGATATTAATTTGCTAGGGTTAAAGTATAAATAGTGCATGTAAGCACCGTATTTTTTTAATGATCTTGTAACCCTACATTGCCTTTACAGTAGCAGTTCTTAGTCGAGCTCTTTTAAGGCATTTCTTTTCAATCATTCAGCATAACTTTGATCTCCATTCTTTGTGTTTGATTTTTCTACGTGTTTTGAATCTATCGATCTTATAGTATTATCCTATCAGTATTGACCACATCTTGTGTTAAGGGAAAAGACCACACCCAATGCATGCAGTCGATAACATTTAGCATTACATGAAACCCATGCTTATTTTCATCACTTTACCATGTTTAATTGGTAAACTAAAATAACAACTTTAGTGAACATGTAGATACTTGTGTGGTCCGCTCAGACATCCTCAGATACTTATCCCAATGTCTGATCACATGTCACATGCTAACTAACTAATTGCAACTGTGTATTTTTTGTGTTGGATAAACACCTTTTTTCCCTCTCACATCCTAACTCATTTAAAAATATGAAAATCAAAATCTAAAAGTTATCAACACAACTCTATCCTCATTTGGAACCGCCGTCTAAGCTTTTGAGTGTACACAATGTCATCGTCAAAGTAGTATTTTATAAGATGATTTCTCTTCAAATGACCTCTTCTCGTTCTAAATCGTGAGCTTTGAGCTTCTTGGTTTTGATAATACTCATTTGTTTTTCCCATAGGATTCCCTATAAACATATCTTATTGTAATATTAACATATGCGACAGACTAGATGATGACTACATTGAGGTTGAATGAATTTGTGAGAGAAAATATAGAGAATGATGTAAGATTTTAAAATTTAATAATGTTTTGTATTTATAGAGTAGTAATATATATATATATATATATATATATATATATATATATATATATATATATTAAAAAATGAAAGTAATTATCCTTCGAATAGGAAGACAAAGTAGGAGAGAGAATACATAAAACTTGGTATCTTATGGTGATTCACCGCACCGCGATATGGTGTTCACCATTGAGGTGAAATAGCCAAATTAACCCACCACACCATCTGTTGGGGGTATACCCTATAGCCTTATACATTTTTCTTTCCTCATTAAATACACCATGTGGTTTTCTTCTTTGAATATTTACACTCATCATTTTAATATTTAACTATTTTTCTTCTCTATTTATTATTTACACCACTAACTCTATTTTTTTAAAAGAGAGTTTATACACATATTAATTAGATATAACTATTATATAGTTAACCATTTAAAAAAAAAATTCAAACTGTGCATATAAAATAAATATATCCAAAAAAATATTCAAACTTAGTATATGAAATATTCTAACTACTAGTATGTATTATCTGTCACACCCCAAAACCAAGAATAGCGGAAACGTTCTGGGGCGGAGGACGTCATGTAAAGTATCACAACACAGTAAATGTAAATAAGCAAACAACATCATCCATTGCATTAAATATAAAATTTTAATACAAGCGTGTTCCGTACAGTTTTAGACACCAAAAATATAATTTAAATCAAAATAGTATGATGAGTCTTGAATGCGCTCCATCTTCTCAAAAGCTAGCATCGGTACCTGATTACTGATGACCTGAGAATACAAGTTATTTTGAAAAAGTTTATCAGCATTAAGCTGGTGAATTCATAAATATTTTAGTGTCGAGGTTTGTTATCAAAACGTTTGAACCTGTTGCAAGTATGAGTTGTAAATGTATGTAAGTGTTTGTAAAAGTTTGAATCTCTCAGAAAAACCTATATTTTCTGTTAAAGTAGTCCTCTACCAAGGCTTAACTGTTTTGTATGCTCGTTTGATGTAAAAGTGTGTAATTTCCCAAGTGTAACTATCATTTAACAAAATATAGTTTGTACATTAAAGTTTAAGTGAGGTTATCACCAAAATGTAATGGGTAAATTATTGTAGTCAGGTACCGATGCTAGCTTTTGAGAACATTAACATCGACAACGACAACATTAAATTATTGTAATGGGTAAATATTTTAGTGTCGAGGTTTGTTATCAAAATGTTTGAACCTGGTAACATCGACAACATTAAAGTATATAAAACATTTAAAAGCATTTCAAAGGTTGAATAAAGGGGTATGAACTCACTTGGGAGTTTGAAGATAGCGAGATCGAAAACCGGGCAGAGTTTTCGTCTCGGGAAACGGATTTTTCTCGGGAATCTCGGGAGTAAAATCGACTCTCGGGACATGAGCAAAAAGACCAGAGCTTCGTGTTTGAATGGGCACGGAAATCGAGGCAAGATCGTGAGAGAAAGAGAGAAAATGAACAACTTTTTCGGAAAGGCTCGCATCCGTTTTATAGGGGTGCTGAACCGCCTCCGAATGCGGGGCGTACGGGTGTACGCAGCGCGTACCCGTACGTCATCGCTTACATATTTCGGATGGAGCGGGTCGGGTAGCTTCGCATAGGGCGACGTGGACGATCCGAGGCTGTGCCCTCGAGTATGCCGCGCGTACGAGAGTACGCGGCGCGTACCTCGGCCCTAGGCTGACTCCTCTTCGGATAATACCGAATTTTTAATAAAAATTATATATAAATTATTTATCAAACTTCAAAAATTCATATCTCCTTCATACGAACTCCGTTTTCGACGTTCTTTATATCCCCGCGAAGGTGAGACTACGATCTACAACTTTTGTTTAGATTCCGTTGGCAAATTCCGAAATTATTTTTATTATTTATTTATTAAAATGACGTGATTAAGGAATTTCTTTAAAAATTCATAACTTCTTTATCTGACGTCGGTTTTTGCCAGACTTTTTACCGTTGAAATACTATTGTCGAGACCTTCGATTCTCGTTTAGGTCATTCCGGCCAAATGTCGCTCGATCTCCGTTTCGAGTTTTTAGCTGTCTGTTGTTAAGCTGAACTTGGAAAAATCATAACTTCAATATACGAAGTCGGATTTGGGCGTTCTTTTTACGTACGATCATGGTTTAATGAGATTTAAACATAGAAGAATTTAAATAGAAACTTTTTGGACATTTTATTATCAAAGTTAATTTTATTAACTCAAAAATGTTTACAATACTTGACCTATTAGGCCATTACAAAGAGTTGAAATATCGGGTTCACATCATCCCCACGTTAGAGGGAATTTCATCCCGAAATTCAAAGTAAGAGAACACTCGTGGATTAGGGAAATAGATGTGGGTACTTGTGTTGCATCTGATCTTCGCGTTCCCATGTGAATTCAGGTCCCCGCTTAGCGTTCCAGCGAACCTTCACGATGGGTATGCGACTTTGTTTTGTTTTCTTGACCTCTCGGTCCATGATTTCTACTGGTTCTTCTACAAAATTGAGGCTCTCGTTGATCTCGATCTCGTCGAGTGGGATTACGAGAGTCTCATCGGATAGACACTTTTTCAAGTTGGATACGTGGAATGTAGAATGTACGTTACGAAGTGCGCCTGGTAGATCGAGTTTGTAAGCTACAGGGCCGACTCTTGCAAGAATTTCAAAAGGCCCTATGTACCTCGGATTAAGTTTCTCACGCTTGCCGAAGCGTATCAAGCCCTTCCAGGGTGAGACTTTGAGAAGGACTCGGTCTCCCACCTGAAATTCCAAAGGTTTCCTTCGTTTATCTGCGTAGCTCTTCTGTCGGTCTCTAGAGGCTTTCAATCGTTCACGGATTTGAACGATTTTCTCTGTCGTTTCCCGAATGATCTCCGGACCGGTGAGAGTATTGTCGGAAGCTTGGCCCCTGGCTAATTGAGTATCACCCACTTCAGCCCAGCACAGAGGGGATCTGCACTTTTGGCCGTAGAGAGCTTCAAATGGAGCAGCCTTGATGCTCGTGTGATAACCGTTATTATAGGAAAATTCAACAAGGGGTAAATGAGTATCCCATGCCTTCCCAAAGTTAATCACGCAGGCTCGCAACATATCTTCCAGAGTTTGGATGGTCCTCTCACTCTGTCCGTCGGTCTTAGGATGGTAGGTTGTGCTCATGTCTAGCCTTGTTCCTAGGGAATGTTGTAGTGATTGCCAAAATCTTGAGGTAAACCTACTATCTCTATCGGAGATAATGGACATAGGTACACCATGTAGCCGTACGATTTCCCTAATGTATGTTCTCGTAAGTTTCTCCATCTTGTCGGTTTCTTTGATAGGTAGGAAGTATGCAGACTTGGTCAATCTATCGACGATGACCCATATGGTATCAAGTCCACCCGTTGTCTTGGGCAACATGGTTATGAAATCCATAGTGATCTGCTCCCACTTCCATTCTGGGATCTCTGGTTGTTGCAATAAACTAGAGGGCTTCTGGTACTCGACCTTAACCTTTGCGCAAGTAAGGCATTTACTCACGAAGGTTGCAATCTCTGCTTTCATATTAGGCCACCAGTATAGCTTTTTAAGATCCAGATACATCTTATCTGAACCTGGGTGGACGGAATCCGAGTGTTGTGCGCCTCGGTCATGACCAAGTCTCGGAAACCACCGTGTTTCGGTGTCCAGATCCGATCCATGAAATATAAGGCTCCGTCACCCTTGGCTTCTAAATTCTTGTCCATTCCTCTGAGGGATTCACTCGTCACATTTTCAGGTTTCATGGCTTCAAGTTGGGCCGTCTGAATTTGATTAGACAAGTGTGAATGGATGGTTAT